TATAAAGGCTGTTTCCCCACAGCAAACCCCGAATTTTGAATTGGTATACTTAATCTGTATGATTATGGTACTCTTTAAGTTAGATGCTCACAATAATGAGTTATTTCTCACTTAGCCTTTTTCTTGACCCCTTCCCTTTTACCTTGAGTGAAAGTCTTGTATGACTTTTCTGCATCTCCCTGCATATCTGTTGGATTACCTATTTTAGCTTACCTAGAATAAGGTTTTGCAACAAAGAGATGAAGGATTGAGGCTTGGCAACCGGTAAAGGTCAGCCAAGAACATAAGGTGTGTCTTTATTAGACACTATCACAAACTGTTCCATCTTCTTTCCCTTCTTAAATTCTTCATCTGTTTCCTTTTACAAATACTTACTGAATGTCTATAAGTGCTACTTATGGAGCTGGAACTAAGAAAATCATATGTTTCCTTGTGAAAGTTATACTCAGATAACAAAATAATTTTATGTAGCTGAGACCAAGAGGTAAACATTCATTTTAAATAATTATACAAATTACCGGGAAACAAACACTCAGAATGACTAGCATTTACTCTCAACACAGAAATGGTGAAATAGCTAACTTCAGTAGTCACAGAAAATCAAAAATTAAACATATATTATTGCATACAGTAGCAATTTTAAATAAGCTTTCTGTCTGATAGAGGCTGTGGCCTGTTTCTCAGCTATGAATGATATGACTAATTAAAAAATAATAATATACTTTACATCAAGGATAACAAATTATTAAGACTTTACTGAGTATTGCTTTTTCAATTACTATGTAGAATCATAAATCATCATTACCCATCACACAATACCATTCAAGAATACTAGTAAACATCCTGAGAGCTCTGTGAAAAATTTCCTCTTTATAATTAACTCTCATTAGAAGGTTGCAGTTTTTTTCAGAATGACCACCAATGACACAAATACAGCTGAAAACAACTGAGACACAGGTGTTTGAAATTTGGTTTGCTGGTAATAGTTCATCATGCATGAAGTGACTAAATCATTTTCTACACTACTCATTTTGTTGCATTAAGTGGAGAAATATGATTAGATTTTTTATTTCTAAGTTTTAATCAGAAATATCAAAGGAATAGATTTTTTTTCTGCTGGAATAATAAAATCTGTTATAACGTTTCAATAAATGATGTTTTACATTAACATTTAAAACACCCATATTCGGACATACCAAAGGGGAACACAAGTTGCCTTGACAGGGCTCCTATTGGTCAAACTGGGACAATTTGAACACCAGAAATAATAATACTGGTAATGGTTTATATTATATTGAATATCAAAAAGAATTCCTGAAGATCTTCAGCCAGTGTCTTCTTATTATGATTCTCTTGCCCTTTTTTAGGGAAATTTAAAAAAAGAAAGAAAAAGTCCTTAAGTTCGGATCAATGCTGGAGTTATATTTCTGAGGAGCATCTGAGAGAAATGTGAATTTTTATCCCTTTTCTGAGTGACTTTTTATTTTTGGCTGCCAGCTCTCTTCACTTCTTATAGGTTGGTGCCCTTACTTGCCTCTCTGTCTCTTCATTCTGTGTCCCCTCCCCATAGCCATGATTGGGACTGTGAATGTCAGTCACTGATATTTCTGAGTTGAAATGGTGGCATGGTGGGTTACTAACTGCTTTGTTCAAGAGCCATCTGCAATTACATTCAAAGGGTTTACCCTTTTGGATCCAAATTTAAAACCAAAATTGGGTTTACCAATTAAATTTAAAAGGGAGCTGAGTGAGGTGGTGTGTGCCAGTAGCTCTGGCTACTTGGGAGGCTGAGGCTGGAGGATGGCTTGAGCCCATGAGTTTGAGGGCGAACACTGTTGGAGAAGCTGTTGAGCCAGCAAGAGAAGGGGCCTCCAGAAGAAGCAGAGATGTTTTGCTCACAGATCATTGCCATGGGTCTTCCCCTTCCTTTTAGTGATTGCTTCAGCAAACTGGGTAATCAGAATGCCCAGATGAGTGCAGCTTCATTTGATGATTTGAACAAAACTTTGTATAGAAGCTTAAATCAAGATATAAAGATCATGGATGCTTGTAGATACAGTGAACTACGAATGAACATTTGAGGTCAGCCATCCATCAGGCATAGTCAACAAATAATGTGGATGGAAATTGGCTAGTCTCTTCTGTACACAGGAAATCATTATTGATGAAACAAGACATCAGCCCTTTCTATGCGCTCCTTAACTATGAACAAGAAACAGTATCTGAAAGCATGAGGAACATTTATACAAGATGGATAATGGTAGAAGATGCACTAAATATCTAATTCAGCCAGAATGCCAAGTTAAGATTCAGATTGGATTTCAAAACAAAAACATTATTTTTCAAGGCCTCAGAGTATAAGTTCTGTGTATTACAGGAAAACTTTTATGCTTAGTTGGACAAAGAAGAACCTTGCTTTCTTTTTCTGAATGCGCTATGACCTTGACAAGATCAACTTTATAACTTGGCTACAGTTTGTCAACCCATGCACTCACTGGATTATTCAGAAGGACAGTTTCCTAGGCAAGTTCCATCCATGTGGTCACCATCCAAACCTCCCGATGAGGAACGCAGGCTCAAGGATGCTGAAACAGAATCTCAAACTGCTGTTTAGGAAACTCCAAAAAAAACCTATCAGATGCTGTTCAGTAGGAAATTGTTGACATGAAGTCTGAGGGATAGGTCACTGTAATTCAGCATCTGAAACAGACCATTGAGGATCTGAGGACCAAAACAGCTGAACTAGAGAGGCAGTGTCCTACCCTGGACACAGAGGTGACCAGTGGTCATCAAGGGCTTGAGAATGGAGTGACAGCCTCAGAAGATATCTCGAAGCTCTCAGTTTTGAAGAAAAAGAAGTACGGCATCAAAGGATTTTAGAGGCAAAATCCATACAGACTTCCCCGACAGAAGAGGTTGGGGTATTGACATTGCCTCCTGTGGACTGCTGCCAGAGGGTCCTCCTTCTCTCCCTGGGGCTGAAAGTGGAACTCAGACAAAATTATGTTCAGTGATTTCTTTGAGTGTGTCTCCAAGGCAAATATCAGTCCAGCTCAACAGCCATCAGTCCACACAGAGCATCTCACAGCCTCCACCACCTCCATCCCTTCTGTGGTCTAATGGTCAAGGACAGCCTGGGTCACAGCCGCACCATACTTCTATTTCTACTGAGTTTGACACCAGCCATGAACACTCTGTTTTCTCCGCCTTTGAAAACAGCTGTAACAACCCATCCGTATCACCTCCATGCCTGGCCTGGGCATGGGGCCTCCTCCACTTCCCCTTCTCCCTGACATGTCAATGCCTACTCTGCACAGTACAGCCATTCCCCCACCTCCTCCTCTGCTGGGTGCAGAAATGTTGCCACCCCCAGGCCCCTCCTCTACTCAGAGTGGGAATACCTCCTCCACTTCCTCTACCTGGAGTGGGAATACCTCGCCGCTCCCACTTCCCAGAGTGGGCATACCGCCTCCTTACCTTCTTCCCTTCTTCCCAGAGCTAGAATACCCACTCTGCGCCCTCTACCTGAAGCAGGATACCTCCTCCGCCCAAACTCCCCCTCTACCCAGAGCAGGGATACCTTCTCCACCCCAACTTCCAGGAGCAGGAATAACTCCTCAGTCCTCTCTACCCAGAGCAGGAATACCTCCTCCACCCTCTCTACCCCTTCTACCAGGAATGGGCATAACCCCTCCGCCCCCTCTACCTGAAGCGGGAATACCTCCTCCACCCCGACTTCTCAGAGCTGGAATACCTCCTCTGTCCACTCTACCTGGAGTGGGAATACATCTTTCGCTCCCTCTACCTGGTGCTGGGATTTCCCCACCTCCTCCCTTGTCCGTATGGGTATTCGACCTGCTCCAGCTCCCCCTCCCCCTCCACGTGGGACAGAAATCCCCCCACCCACTCTGCTTTCTGCATTAGGTCCTCCACTCTTCCCAAAAGTTGGGAGGAATACTTTACCAACACCCCAGGTGTGTGGATTTCTTCCTCCTCCATTGCCAAATGGCTTGCTTGAATTAGGGATGAATCAGGACAAAGGGAGTAGGAAGCAGCCCATGGATCTTTATCTACCAATGAAGCCTCTTTACTGAACAAGAATTTGACTACATAGTAAAATAGACCCCAGCGTTTCACTTATTTTGGGAAAAATTTGAAGAGCCATCTATAGATTGTCATGAATATGAGCAATTATTTTTTTAAACTGCTGTAAAGGAGAGAAAGAAACCTATCTCTGATACAATCTCAAAGACAAAAGCTAAACAATGCTAAATGCACCAGCAAACTCTGTGGATGGAGCCAGAAATCAAATCTTGTCTCTATGAAAGGGCCAGAAAGAAACATCATGTCATTGGTCAGAGAGCAGAGAGTGAAGCAAATGCTTGAATACTGAATGACCATTTACTGAATCACTAAAATTTTATTATGTGATTCTCTACAATAAACATATGCTAGGTGATACAAAATTAAAAAAAAAAAAGAATTCCTGAGTCAACAGTAATACTCAAAACAAAATAAGAAAAAGAAAAGCTCTTCATTGCAGAAACTTGCTATCTAATAAAATAAAATCACCAATGTCATTTGCAACCAATAATATAATTACTGATTTAGTCAAGCATCATCAACAGATGCTAAAATCATTAGGTGAAGTGTAGTAGGAGGCCAAGATAGTAATATATTCTCATAGTATGAAGGCACAAGTTGCTTATTAATTGCAATGGGAAAATTATCTCTACAAAATGAAGAGAGCTACAAAACACCATCTTAATCCAGTCTTCAAACTTAGCATAACAATAATGAGACAAACTGCCACTATGTGCTTTCTGATACACTATAATGAAAAGTACACACATTATATTAGTAGAATTCTTATAAGATGATGTTTAGCATGAATATAATCACAAGGAAACAGATAAATAAAAAATGTGAGCCATTCTATAAGACAACTGACCTGGATTCTTTAACATATCACCATCGCGCTTGGCGCCACAACAGGCACCACAACGGGCAGGAAGATGGCGGAGCCGGTTACCAAGTCCGTGCTGTTTGTGTGTCTGGGTAACATTTGTCGATCACCCATTGCAGAAGCAGTTTTCAGGAAACTTGTAGCTGATCAAAACATCTCAGAGCATATTATCAAAGAAGATTTTGCCACATTTGATTATATACTATGTATGGATGAAAGCAATCTGAGAGATCTGAATAGAAAAAGTAATCAAGTTAAAACCTGCAAAGCTAAAATTGAACTACTTGGGAGCTATGATCCACAAAAACAACTCATTATTGAAGATCCTTATTATGGGAATGACTCTGACTTTGAGGAGGTGTACCAGCAGTGTGTCTGGTGCTGCAGAGTGTTCTTGGAGAAGGCTCACTGAGGCAGGTCCGTGCCCTGCGGCAGCCTGACTAGACTCCACCCTGAGGCCCTGCGTTTCCCAGTCAGTGTGTAATAACGTTCCAGAGCCCAAAGCCCCAGCTCTTTGTTCAGTTGACTTACTGTTTCTTACCTTAAAAAATAATTCTAGGTGGAAATCAGTTGTGATTGGCAGAAGAATAAATAAAAACCTTTGACTCAGACACTTTATGGGGTATATAAAGCATTCTTAAACTAGTTGAACATTTCATTTTGCCCCAATTACAAAAATAGTTGAACAAATAACATAAAATACAATGAAGGAAAACCCCACTTGAAGGTCCAGGTCAACATCTAAGCCCATTGAGATCTAGATCATCGAGTCTACCTCCTCAGTAGGTGTGTGTGGATGGCCCAATGTAAGGCAGCTGCCCTCTGCTCCCCTGCGCTACCTCTCTCTTCCCCAGGGCCTTTTACGTATTCACAGTAGCCCCTCCATAGGAGCTCACAGTATAGATTAGAAGTGTTTTAATTTATACACACCCATAGTGCATACTTGTATATCGAAAAGAGAGAGAAGACATAAAGATTTATGGAATCAGTCATTAGCACCTTTAATACTTCTTGATTTTGTCAAGTTTACTTCATGAGTAGGTCAGCTCGTTTGCTCCCATCTGAACCACTTTACCTCTGAAACTTAATTCCATCCAGAAAAACGGACACTTGTATGCTAGTCTATCTGTGGTCAGTTAGACTAGCTGAGGAATATGACGTTTATATGCACATATAACCCAAATGTCCAATATAAATTGGCTTATTTTTAAAAATAATTTTAAAAATTGGGAAAAGTTTTATCTGGCATGCACAAATATTGATTGTTAAGTATTCTTCCTCAGCATTTAATAAATGTATAGGCAGATACAAGTTATTTCTGTGTATTTTGAGTTAATATCAAAATCATATGAATATTTCAAAATAAACAGGGGAGTTATAAAAATACAGCTAGAGATATGAAAAAAAAAAAATATCACCATCGCAAAAGACCAGAAAGAGTGGTAGAATTTTTTAGCTTAATGGAAGCTAAGGAGGTATGATCATCAAATGCAATAAGTGATCCTCAATTGGATATTGGGGTAGAAACAAGTTTGTAAAAGAGCATTTGGGGAAATTTAAATATGGACCCTGTGTTGACTATAATTGTATTATTGTTAAAATTCTTGGGTGTGGTAGTACTCTGGGGTTGGTTATGAAGTAGGATGTCCTTAATTTTAGGAGATAAAGTATTTATGATCTGTCATCATATCTACAATTTAATTTCAAGTGCTTCAGCAAAGATAATGCCATAGATATAGGCACAGGTCCAGTAAATGTCTTTAAATATTTTTAAATAGTCATCTTTTGATGAAAGTTTTTATTATTATGTTGTGGCACTCTCAGATTTTCTCAGCTGCTTGATTACAAAATGCAGTCTGAAAATGGATCAACCCTTTTCCATACCATAGGTAGATTATAAAGTTAAAAAGAAAAATCATCTTATTTTATCTTCATATATTAACAAAAATGTGGACCATGCTCAGCATTCAATACTAAAAAAAGAACAGAAAGGGTTTGGAGAAAGGAAAGGAGATATAATATATGCAGAGTTTCAGAAGCAAAAGCAATACTATCGTGAGAAAAGAAAAGGAAAAATTTTGCAGTTTTTCCTCTTGTTTTTATGTTATATGAAAGTAAGCATTTTTCCATGTATTATTCACTACTCTGTTCTAACTACCCAGAACAGTGCTGCCACAAAATAGATGATAAATGGATATTTGAAAGAATGTGAGGTTATCCTAAGTGCCTTTATACAAATTATCTCATTTTACACACACACACACACATACACACACACACACACACACACACACACACACAGACACACAGACTTGGCCATTGGAAGCTCTTTCAGTGTATATATTCTCTTGCTACTCTTACTCTTGAAAATATCTTAATAAAGGCACTTTAGCAAGGTCATAACTACAAAATCTTCTTACTCTGAAGTAATATTACTCTGAATTTTCCACTTAAATCTTCTTTAGATTAATATCAGATGACCCTTGTGACATATACTGCAAATGATTGCTAGAATCTAGATATTTCTCCTCTGAGGCTCATGTGAAAATTATTCTTCCCTATCTTTTTAAAGACAAATATAACTATATGACTAGTTCTGGCTAATGAGAATGGGCCATGATGATGTGTGTCAGTATGAGACACATCAGTTCATCTCATCCCCTGCCTTGGTGATCACTAGAACACTTCATAGGATCTTTAACTTGGGCCCTTGAGTAACAACAATGAGAAAGGCCTTCCTGCTAATCTTTATTAGAAATTAAACAAATAAATCCATCTTGTTTTAACGAATATGGTTTTTGGGGAATGGATATTTGAATACAGTTCCTAAACTTGCCTTTCAGCTGTCAACACCACAATTGGAGCAGGGCAACTTAGGTTACCTGTATTAGTTTACAACTTTCCTTCTCCTTTTTGAGCTTCCCTATATCCTCTCTGTTGCTCAAGTTCAGTTAAAGATTTTGTTTATCTCACTGAAAAATGGAAAAAGTCAGAAAACAATTTCACACTGGCCCAGTACCACTAAATTGGTCTTTCTTTTCTCCCCATTTTGACTATGATTGAACAGTCTGTGGTACTTCTGTCTAAGCCAATTTCTATTTGCACACTAGATTCCATCTCCTGTTTCTTACTTCATGGCATTTTTCTGAAGATGTCTCCTTCTCTTATGCATCATTGCTTTTCTCCTTTCTAATGGATCAACTTCCATCATCATACTATGTTCTGGTTACCTCTCCTATCTAAAATAAATCAAAATCCTGCCAGGAAGGGGAAAAATATTTTCCACATTCCTCATCAGTCACTGAGTTTTTTTCAATTTATATTTTTATCATAAAACCTATTAATATAGTGCCATGCCCATCATATTTGTAAAATATGCACCTGAGCTACGATCACCACCTTGATAAGTACAACAAAATTTCCCAAATGTAATCCATTCTAAACAAGGCAAGAATAATCACACAATTCTTAATATGTTTCATCCACATTAACTACATGAAATATTCATATTCAACTTTAATATAATTTTTTTAGAATAATTTTAGATTTACAAAAATGTTGTAAGGACATCCAGAGAGTTCTCATATACTCCATACTAAGTTACATCTATTATTAGCTTACATTAGTGTGATATATTTGCTACCACTAGTATTGATACACTGTTATTAACCAAAGTCCATACTTTATTCAGATCATGTTGGTTTTCAGCCCTGGTTCCTTTTCTTGGGAATGAAATTGGAACCCAAGATCTGGGCTCTGGATATGCTCATTGCTGCATGGGTGTTATTATTTTCAGGCCCTTTTAGCTAACAGAGCAAGGAAATATATGTGCATGTACTAACCTGTATATATACACATATCTACAAATCTTTTTACATCCCAGGTTCCCATTCAAGTTATCATATTACATTTAGTTATCATGTAGTCCTCAGGCTCCTGTATCCTGAGATAGTCTCTCAGATTTTCCATGTTTTTGTTGAACTTTGACAGTTTTGAGGAGTATTTATCAGGTATTTGTAAAATATTTCGCAATTTGGATATTTATGATGTGTTTCTCCTTATTAGACTGGGGTTATGAGTTTTGGGAGGAAGACCACAGAGGTAAAGTATCATTCTCATCACATCATGTCAAGAGTTTAAAGTATCATCATGCCTTATCACTACTGATGTTAACCTTGATTGCCCAGTTGAGGTAATATTTGTTAGGTATCTGCACTGTTGAGTAACTCTTTTTTCCTCTATCCATATTATATTTTTGGAAGGAAGTTACTATGCACAGCCCATACTTAAGAGGTTGGAAGTTATGTAGCATCTTATTTTAGAAACACAATCTCACCCTATTGCCCAGGCTGGAGTACAGTGGTACAATCATAGCTCTCTGCAATCTCAAACTCCTGGACTCAAGTAATCCTCTTGCCTTGGCCTCCCAACGAGCTAGAATTACAAGTGTGAGCTATCACACCTGGCAATGCCACCTTCTTGAGAGGAGGAAAGCCTATAGAAAGCATTTGGAATTTTTCTGCCCAGAAAATTTGTCTATTCTCTTCCATTTATTTATTCATTCAATCATTTATTTCATTATGGTGTCTTTAATACTACATTGTGTATTTTGTTGTTCAAATTTTTCTGGCTTAGGCTATTGGAAGCTCTTTCAATAGGCTCCTGTATCACTTTGACATAACCATATTGCAGAATTTTTTTTAGCATTACCTTATTTCTTGGCACTATAAAATGTGCCAGGATCGTCCTGTAATTTCCCAGCCTCAGTTCTATAATCAGCTATTTCTCTAAGTAGCCCTGGTTCCTTTTCTTGGGAATGATATTGAAAACTAAGATTTGGGCTCGGTATACAGTCATTGCTACATGGGTGTTATTATTTTCAGATGTTTTAGCTAATAGAGCAAGGAAATATATGTGTATGTACTAACCTGTGTATATACACATAGCTATAAATATTTCTGTGTGTATTCATTTGTATTTACAGTAAATGAAACATAATTTATACTAATGTCTCAAACTTTAATCTAATACCACATAGATTATTCTAGCTTTTCCCTCTTGCTTATCTGTATCCTCCCCCTCCAATAATGAAAAATCTTAGTCCCACCGTCTGACAACCATGTCCTTATTTTTTCAATTCCACTATATATGTATAGTAATTTCAGAATTATTAACACATACCCCAGGAGAAATAATGTTATTATTCTTACTAGGGTACAGTTGCTTTTGTCTTGTCTTAAATTCTCTACCCATTTCCTAAGTTACTTGAGTCGGTACCTCCCACTTCCAACCCCACTCCCTTCAATAAGGTTATTTCATACATTTGTAATGCAGACTCTATAACCATATGCATTTCATCCTGGGATTTCTCTAATCATTTAAATATTTTTAAAATCTGCAAACATTAAGGCTCATTCTTTGTGCCGTAAAACTCTATGGAATTTGTCAAATGCACAGGGTCATGAACTCACCATCACAATGTCATACAGAATAGCTTTACACCCTAAAAATATCCCTTATGTCTCACCTACTCAACATTCTTCCATTCCCAAATTCTTGGTAGCAAGTGCTGACGTGCTTGTCATCTTTACAGCTTTTCCTCTTCAGGAATGT